TAAGGTAAAAAATAAAATAAAAATAAAACTATGATCTTCGTTTTTTAGTAACACATACAACATGTGAGAGAATGAATGTAAAAACATAACTTCAAGACTGGCTAAAATGGGTGGCGCCTGTGGCTCAGTGAGTAGAGCACTGGCCCCATATACTGAAGGTGACAGGTTTAAACCCGGGCCTGGCCAAACTGCAACAAAAAATAGCCAGGTGTTGTGGTGGGCGCCTGTAGTCCCAGCTACTCAGGAGGCTGAGGCAAGAGAATAGCCTAAGCCCAGGAGCTGGAGGTTGCTGTGAGCTGTGATGCCACTGCACTCTACCGAGGACAACAAATTGAGACTCTTAAAAAAGATTGGCTAAAAAGATTTACATTAAAATTACCCATCTCAACCAGGCACAGTGGCTCAAACTATAATCCCAGCACTCTGGCAGGCAGATATAGGTGGATCCCTTGAGTGCAGGGGTTTGAAACTAGCCTGAGCAAGAGCAAGACCCTGTCTCTACGAAATGCTGTGGCAGGTGCCTGTAGTCCCAGCTACATGGGAGGCTGAGGCAGAAAGATCTTGTGAACTCAGAAGTTTGAGGCTGCTATAAGCTAGGCAGACACAATGGCACTGTAGCCTGGGCAACAGAGCAAGACTGTGTCTCTCAAAATAAAAAAGAAAAGAATGCATACCGTTATTCAGTTGTTTTTTGAGTGTAACTTCAAAAGAAAAAAATGATAGTTTTATAAAAGCAGATTGCTGTCACTTCAGAATATCACCTGGACATAAACTCTGGAAAGTCCATGTAAAAAGCATAAAGTTCAACAGTTGGCATGTAGACAGAATTAATACAACTCAGTGTATAATTCAAAAATTACAAAATAACAGATACTAGAATAAATCAGCTCAAACAACAGCAGTTCTTATAATTAAAAAAATACCATTAAGTACATATGGGCCAGTTGTGTTTAGGGAGATGATTATCAAATGTAGAAATAAGAAATCAGAAGTTGTAAATACCTTAGAGACAACACCTGTGATTAGAGAACATCCGTTCCCACCCCCACCCCCACCTCGGACACCATTTTCCTTTAAAGTTAAACTGAACACATGCTCGTCCAGATTACTCAACTCCTCTCAATATTCATGTGGGCACAATTCTTCATCCTATTCAATGAAGTACCTACTTCTGGGTACTAGTCTTCTAGGGATGGTTTACTGCCTCCTCTCCTAGTTCCTTAATACTACTCATTAGTCTAAAAGTGATAAACCACCACCATGCAGAGGAGGCCTGGGTCCCCTCCACTAATTTGAAAATAGTCCAGAGATAAACAGCCAGAAACTGGTAAGCCAAAGAAAAATAAGCTACATAATTGAGATTTCTTTTACAACAATTGAATCAAATGCTAACTAAGACATCATCACCTTTGAACAATGTCCAATTGAGATTAGAAACAAAGAGGGACAGGGACATGCTGAATATACAAAACATTGCCAACACTGAATGTGAGTAAACAATGCACATATACAAAAAAAGAAAATTTAGCCAGGCATGGTGGCTCACATCTACAATCCTAGCACTCTGGTAGGCCACGGCAGGTACTGCCTGAGCTCAGGATTTTGAGACTAGCCTGAGCAAGAGCGAGACTCCATCTCTAAAACCTAGCTGGGCATTGTGGCAGGCACCTATAGTACCAGTTACTCATGAGGCTGAGACAGGAGGATCACTTGAGCCCAAGGCACTCTACATAGGTCGACAAAAGGAGACTCCAGCTCAAAGAAAAAATAATTCTTTTAAACAATATAAACTAGCATGTAAGAGAATGAAAGAAGAAACTAAAAAAAAAAATTAAATCTGACTCGGTAGCCATAGCCCAGTGAGTAGGGCACCAGCCACATACACCGAGGCTGACAGGTTCAAGCCCAGCCTGGGCCTGCTAAACAACAATGACAACTGCAACCAAAAAATAGCCAGGTGTTGTGGAGGGCACCTGTAGTCTCAGCTAGTTGGGAGCCTGAGGCAAGAGAATCGCTTAAGCCCAAGAGTTGGAGGTTGCTGT